CATCCAAATGTTGAGAGGTTTCCATATCTATTTCATCCTTATATAAGATTCAAGACTTCACAAGAGATCACACTCACTAATTATCAGTTGGTGCGGTAGTAAATCATCATGGACAAATGGTTATAATAATTTATATATTCTGAAAATATAATTACAGAATTCACACCAGTTTACAGGCATGATCAGCTTGATATAAATAGTAATATTAGATGTGGAGAAAAAACATGTGATAGAAGAAAGTTTTAAGTATACTAGTTCACTAATTGTTTAGGTAGTACATGTATTACAGCGATCCAATGCATTAACCGGGAACTTTTTTTCTTAAATGGACAGCCTGTTGATTTAAGAACGGAGTAATTAGGGTCATTTCGTGTGCCAGATTGAATCAATGATAATTATCTACAACTACAGAAATTAAAACGAAAACAGAGAGCACGGAGCAACAAAACAATAATTACTAAAATATGTCAATCAGGTCTACCAAAATGCATGTGTCATGTGACACAGTGATATACTGTTGATATTATTCAAATTAGTTACGTTTGCTAGGGACAGTGTTAAAGTAAAGTGACAGCAGCTAGGTGGTTTTACTTAGGGAATTCACTAATAAGAATGGTTAAAAATTTAAAGTTCCTATAATATCCCTTGTGGAATGAGATACACTTATAGGTGCTAGAGCATTCAATGCATTTTCAGGGGAGCAGTATGTATCGATGCAGCGAACAAATAATGGGAGTGGTTTTATCGTACGGATAGATTGTGGTAGGTTATTCCAGAGTCTAGAAAATTTACAGGCAAAGTAATTCATATAGAGAGAAGATCTAGAATATGTTTGTTTCGATAGTGACAAGGAATTAAGGATGTCATAATGAGAAGTTTCTGCATATTGAATCACGTGATTGGATGTGAATGATATTTTATTAAGTAATTTGAAGAAAAAGATAAGATTTAGTTTGAGTCTCTTCTCCCATAAAGGTCTAGCTCAGGTTTATTACATCTAGAATTATAAGTTAAGGTACAATGAACTCCAAGAATACGAAGTGTAAATCGTCTCTGTACTGATTACAGCCTTAATTTATCCTTTATTGCGCGCACTTCTAAGAATAAACGTGCAATATTCTAGAAGTGGTCGAACACAAACTTTGTTAATTAAAATACGTGACTCATTGTTATAATGGTTTCGAGTTATGTAACCTACAAGACGTTAAGACTTAGAGGTCTGTTTCAATATCTGTTCTGTAAACGTCTTGGGAGTATCTAAGTCCTAAGTCTACTGTATCTAACCGAGATACCACTTCTCCAGTTATGGTAAGGTCTAGGTTGAGTGATGTATCGCCGAAGCATATCCATCCACATTTAGCCGTATTAAGCTCCAGTTACCATTTTAAGCACCACTGTGCTGCCTTTTTAAGCTCCATGCTGATGCAATTTTGCATATTTTTCAGCTTATGTGGAGAAAATGAATATACTACCTTAAGATCATCTACATATAGAAGGGGCTTAATGACAAAAACTTTCACAAATATTACTGATAAACACTAAAAAGAGCAAAGGGCCTATGACATTACCTTGTATTACACCACTTCTAACAGGGACAGTGTTAGACAATGAAGAGTTAATTCTAACTATTTGATGTCGACTGCTGAGAAAGGAATCAAACCAAGCAAGCAAAGGATTTGAACCCCATAAGATGCGAGCTTACCTACAAGAAGTTGGCTGGCTAACCATGTCAAACGCTTTAGAAATGTCCAGATATATCACTAAGACTAGATATCCTTGGCTACGTAGAGAATAGAATAAATTAAGGAAGTCAAAATGAAATGTCATGCAAGAACGATTTTTAAGAAATTCATGCTGAGTATCATTGATAAATTTTCCAGCGAGTAAATAGTTGCAAAGTTCATCACTTATAACTTTTTCCAGAATCCTAGAGATAACTGGAGTAATATTTATCGGAGTAGCAGAGCATGGGGTATAGATAATAACAGAGTTGTCATTATCTGAAGAATTAGAGCTTTTCCGGGCTCGTTTTTTTGACAGTCGACCCATATCGCTTTAAGTATTAATTCTAAAGCTATTTATGAGTTATAAACTAGGATTCAACGATATTCAAACAATATATATTAGACACTGCGTTATCGTAAGGCAAACTTCAAACTTATGATAACCACTGCTTACGTAAACAGGGAATTATTAGCTGATGTAAGAGTGAGTTGGAATGTGGCTAGAGATGGCCAAACAAAACTTAGCATCGGTCCTTCGTATATATCTTCTGTTTCTGTTCCCTTAAACCATATCCTAATTGTTTAACCTGTGTTAATACTACTGATACTATTATTTTGATGTCTTTACTACTAATTTTGGTAATTTCGTGTTGTTGTACGTGTCGAGTGACAACTTGGGCCCATATATATTTTGTCAAGCTGTTTAGCTAATAAAGTGACTTATCAATTACTACATATTATTGTTTATTTAAAAAGACAAACTCAGAAATTTCTGAATTATCACATACAGATTTTAATCCGTAGTCAACAACCATTTTGCATGATACTGTATGACTTTGAAAACGCTAACTCGAACCTCATTGGTTCACTCTTAAACTATAAGTTCCCTTCTGCATAACTTACTTCTTCATTATTTTAACTTGTTTATATTTCATAATAAAGTATAGGAAGATCTTTTTTCGTGAACCATTTGTCAAAAAGTTTTCTCATCAATTTTATTGTTACTGGGACAAAAAAATCAATAAGTGTCAAATGTGTTGTTTGCCAAACAATACAAAATATCATTTTCTTGGCTGACATGTAAATTAACCTATCACCATGTTTCTTTCGTGTGTATGTATGTGCAAAAAAAATTTATGCGATATCCAATATGCTGTAAAAATAAACAAGATCGATTAGGAAATCCCGCCTCCTATTCCGTTTTCATAGGCAATTGTTTAATTGCCATCAGAACAAAAAAAACATTCACACATTTACTTCATTCATTCTCCACTTTATTTACTCTTAAATATCTAGCTGTTGCTGTTGTCGATGTGTTCACATGTTTTATTGTTGTGTGTTGTGTCTGTATATTGGTAAACAGGACTGTATTCAGTTAGTAAATATTTCTGCTCTTTTTATTGTTGCTTTTAGGGGTATTGTAATCTCTGAGCTAGTTAGTATAATTAAGAAGCTCTCATTGTTATTCTTCACAACACATTATTAGCGTCTACTTCATGTAGAAGTGAAATTTTCTGTCATACGACAAATGTTACATCATTTTGTTCTGGAGGCCTTGTTTATCTTGCAGGTTGTTGTTT